GGCCTGCTTTAAGAGGGCTGGCATTCACCTGAAAGGATACAGGCTGAGGAATTCTGGGAGTTGAAGTCCACCCATCTTATCGTCACTAAGGTTGTGAAAACACGGGATTACGGAGAGCTAGAAAGGGATCCCGTAGGATTTACCTGCAAAAGATGACTTTGCTGGTCTCCTGGAACTGGGCCAGCACAGCGGGAGGCTCGGGCCACACCACACTTTTGCCGTAGTCGGCCATGTTGCGCACCCCTTGAAAACGTTCTACCAGGTCTAGCAGGTAGGACCTCACTTTGTGACGCTTGTAGTAGGACATGATTGTGTAGATGGCGCGCAGGTACCGGCACCGCTTGCGGGCGAGGGCTCCTCTCCAGACCTGGGTATAAGAGGCACCTCAGAATTCGAACTCACCACACAGAACACAAAATGTTAACTCAGTGGGGGTCGTAAAGCGAGGACCACCTCAGTCCTGTGACCTGTTAACGTTTCCCTCTTTTGGAGAACGCAACCGCCGCACAACCGCATCAGGAGGACGTATACAAGGGCGTTTTAACCCTCCCACTTGTAAAGACGGTCCTCGTGTTACGACGGCAACCTTAATCTGTGCTGGTTAAGCTAAGTTTTGCCCCGTTTTACGACCCGTCTTGCCACACTCGTGAAGTTGTGCGGGGGGGAGTTAAATTAGCCACACGGCCGTTAAGCGAATCGGGCTTTCCCCCCCTTGACTTGGCTCGTCAGAAGATCGCCAAAGGGGATCGCGTAACCCCAGGACACTGCGACGGTCGTAAGTACGAGTCGGCTGCCGAGTGTCTGGATTTCAACCACGTGACCGTCAGGAGGCTTCAACGGTCATTAAGCGGGACAAACGGTCCTAATTCTCCTTTTTCAGAGCTGTTGTAACTTTGAACGGGTCACTATAAATGCACCGTTGGAAGTTGAGGACTACCTTTACCTATGAGGACATTGGAAACCGGTGGCTACCGGTAACGTGGTTATACCGAGCGTTAAGCCAGGATTCGTAGTTTTCTTCGCAAGACTGTTTCCTAGGTCTTTCCACTGCCATTGTAACTTTGAACGGTCACTATAAATGCACCGTTGTAAGTTGAGGACTACCTTTACCTATAAGGACATTACCAGCGGCTGCCAGTGACGTGGTTATACCGAGCGTTAAGCCAGGATTTGTAGTTTTCCTTCGCAACACTGTTTCCTAGGTCTTTCCACAGCCGTTGTAACTTTGAACGGTCACTATAAATGCACCGTTGTAAGTTGAGGACTACCTTTACCTATGAGGACATCAGAAACCGGCGGCTACCGGTAACGTGGTTATACCGAGCGTTAAGCCAGGATCCGTAGTTTTCCTTCGCAAGACTGTTGCATAGGTCTTTCCACGGCCGTCGTAACTTTGAACGGTCACTATAGCAACTGTTGTAAATCAAGGACCACCCGGAATTCCAACAGTTTCATTTCGGGACGCTAAATGTGCTGTACGCCGCCCGTTTCTTGGATCGAGTTCTCGTTGGAACGAGAGGACCAGACACACCGCCTTTGCCCACCAACTGGTGACCTCAAACCAGTGGTGGGATTCAGCCGGTTCGCACCAGTTCGGAAGAACCGGTAGCTAAATTTTGCTGAGTTTGGAGAATTGGCTTAATGCACACTGCTTCCGGAAGTCCAGTCTAGGCCTCGGAGGTCTGGAGGAGGCCTCCCAGGCCTAGAAATGTATACCGGAAGTGCGTGGATGCCACTTCCAGAAGTCTGTTCTAGGCCTCGGAAGCCTGGAAGAGGCCTCCCAGGCCTAGAACGGTCTGCCGGAAGTGCGTGGATGCCACTTCCAGAAGTCTGTTCTAGGCCTCGGAGGCCTGGAAGAGGCCTCCCAGGCCTAGAACGGTCTGCCGGAAGTGCGTGGATGCCACTTCCAGAAGTCTGTTCTAGGCCTCGGAGGCCTGGAGGAGGCCTCCTAGGCTTAGAACAGCCCGCGGAAATGCGTGGATGCCACTTCCGGAAGTCCGTTCTAGGCCTCGGAGGACTGGAGGAAGCCTTCCAGGCTTAGAACGGCCCACTGGAAGTGCGTGGATGCCACTTCCAGAAGTCCGTTCCAGGCCTCGGAGGCCTGGAGGAGGCCTTCCAGGCTTAGAACGGCCCGCTGGAGGGGCATGGATGCCACTTCTGAAAGTCTGTTCTAGGCCTCGGAGGTCTGGAGGAGGCCTCCCGGGCCTAGAACTGTCTGCTGGAAGTGCGTGGATGCCACTTCCAGAAGTCCGTTCTAGGCCTCGGAGGACTGGAGGAGGCCTTCCAGGCTTAGAACGGCCCGCTGAAAGGACATAGATGCCACTTCCAGAAGTCCATTCTAGGCCTCGGAGGCCTGGAGGAGGCCTTCCAGGCTTAGAACGGCCTGCGAGAAGTGCGTGGATGCCACTTCCAGAAGTCTGTTCTAGGCCTCGGAGGCCTTCCAGGCTTAGAACAGCCCAACGGAAGGGCATGGATGCCACCTCTGAAAGTCCGTTCTAGGCCTCGGAGGCCCAGGCCTGCATCCAATAAGAGAACCGGTTGTTCGAGTGTTTGAATCCCACCCCTGCCCACAACCCCTTGGTACCTTCTGCAACAACAACACAATGATGGGGATCAGGTTGGCCCGCTCCTGCTCCAGGGCGAACAAGGTGCGCGGCGTCCTTATGAAGATCTTGGTTTGCCCGTACGCCACGTCGTCTTGGAAGCCGTGTTGCTCCATCAGGGCTTGGGTGGCCGCGCCGTCCGAGGCCATGAGGTGGTTAGGCCAGGTGTATTCGCACGTCATTTTGTACCTGGTGGGGAGGGGGAGAAGAAAGTTTGAGAGTTGGGCTTGCTTTGACTGGCGTGTAGAGGGCCTTCAGAAGACCGTCGGGGGTTCGGCGGCTCAAAGCCGACGTGTCCGTTTCCGTCCCAGAGCGCGACGCTCGGGTATTTTGTCCGGCGACAAATCGTTCCTCCGTTTGACGTTTCTCGCCGTTGCAAAACGAAAATCCCGCAGACGGAACCCTGCAGGGAGAAAGCTAGCAGATCGTTCTTGTTCTGCTCAGAACCAGGATTCACCCCGTCGGATTTGTATCCCTTTTTTAGGGGGGTCGGGTCCTTGCGGTGGTGGGAGGGTGTTGTCTTTGACCTTGGGTGTTTCATGACCGAACTAGGTAACATCATCAGTGCTATGGGGGTTTATGGAGAGGAGGAGGAAAAGGGGGGAGGAGGAGGAGGAGGAGGAGGAAGAGGAAGAGGAAGAGGAAGAAGAAGAAGAAGAAGAGGAGGAGGAGGAGGAGGAGGAGGAGGA